AATGCCTGTGCTGGGTCCCCATGGCCACAAAAACCAGAATCTAAAAAGGCGTTCCAAACGTGGCAGCTGAGTTGCCACTCTGTCTACTGCTTCCAGTTTGCCAGGTTCCTGGGTTCACACTGCTGTCTGGTGACGTACTTGGACTCATGGGCGCAGGTCCTGACATCTTCACAGGTTAAATTGGTTATTAAGGAAGAGGCGCTACCGCTGAAGGACCAACCAGAATTCCCGGCACTAGCATTACTTGCTTCACGTGGCTTGCTTGCGCCGGATGCATGGAAATGCAAACGAGCACAGGTCAGCCTTAAGGCTACAATCGACGTCTCCATGTTAGGCACGATCATCGAACAAAATGGCGATGGGCTTCTGGAAGATTCCCACATGCCAGTGGGGTGGCCGTTACACATTGATGGTGCTGTCCGACAATGTTGCATTCATCGATCTGCAACCCTCCAAGAGCTCGACGATATGTTAGGAGAATACGATATGAAAAGAGATTCAGTAGAAACAAATTATAAAGCACCTCACTGCAGTGTGGAACCGGAAATATATCGAACCAAAGCCAGGCTACACACTGCGGCAACTGTGGGCTGATTCCGAGCCGGCCATTGGGCAGAAATCATCTCCGTCTTGTGAAGTTAAAGAGAGTGACATTCTCCGTGCAGTAGCTGCTATCGCAGACCTGCCATCCTCCACATTGCCTGACAGTCCCTTCATCCTCGCGTTGGGGACGCCCAGCAGCTCAAAATGTCCCATCACAAACTCGCACCTTGGCACAAAGAGCCCTAGAGGAATGGGAACGCACCCTGTGCGAAAACAAGGCAGTTGCGATCCTTGCGCAGATGCAAGCCGGCCGACCGGCCCTCATCCAAAAAGATGGCGCCGAAATGCTTATTGCCATTGTCCTTGACAGGCTACTCGCGGACGCCAAGGCATTAGTGGACGACCCTGCAGCCTTCACTCGAGAAATGACCAAGATTCTGCTCGAAAAGCAAAGTCATCCACTTATTGCGCAAATGATCAAGCCAGCAGGAAGTAGTGACCCACCTCCCTCAAACAGCGCAGCCAGTAGCACAGGCAGCCATGGACACCCCAGTGCCGGAACGTCCGTGCAGTTCCAGTAATCGCAGACGGTTAACGTGGGGTACCCACTGCACACACGGCGCGTGACCACTGTGCAATACAAGTGCTGTCACCATGGGGTCCCCATGGTTGACTAGTGCTTAGTTGACTTAGGACACCCCCTTTATCTTAGGCAACTGACTTTGTAGTAAGCTAGCCAGAGTAACGGGAGGAAAGTGGAGGGGGGCCATAGTAATAATCTAACGGGGCCACTAATTTTGCCTAGTAACTGGTAGCGTAGGACGATGTCAAAGTACTGAGGAGGTACACTCATGAGTCTCCAGGATCACAATACTTTCCAAAGCTTGAATTAGATTCAACGAGCTCCCCCCCCTGCCCCCAAGACCAATGTTGATACAAACATAAACGTGAAAAATCGAACGCGCCGGTGTGCGATCAATCTAAGAAGCTTCTCGTTTGCACAACATCCAATATTAAAATTCCGGGGCAAGGGGATACACATAGAGTAAAGATGAAATCTAAAGTCAGCAGCCAGACTACTGATGCAGTAGTTGCTGAATGGCAATCTGCCTGTGAGACACATGGATTTGCCATTCTCTCTCAAACATTGAGGTCTGTGCTAACGCTTCCGGCAACATGAGCAAGCATCAACCCGCCCGGAAAAGACTCAAGAAAAGCACGCTGGCTGCCAGTACTCTCACATGCTGTGTTTTCATATGTACAAACCTCGAACAAACTCGGAATACACGTCCCATCGGACACTTTACAATGGCAGGAACACTTCAAGTGGCAAAGCTCTGGCATGCTGGTTTTTCATATGTACAAACCTCAAGCAAACCTTGTTCAAACCTCAAATCTATGGGGCCGGACGATGCCAGCAGGTGCGACAGGATTTTAAAGGAAAGTTCAATTAATTTCTTTTTTTGCGCGCGGCAACTGTAGGTTTCGTCCGCTGCCTAGAATTGAGGTTTGATTGGGGTTTGTACATATGAAAACACAGCAGATCAAAGGTGTGGTCATGGCATGGCTTTCTCCAATAGAATGCGCAGCACAGAGATGTTTTCAAAGTATGCCTGGAGTTTGTACATATGAAAACACAGCACATCGAAGGTGTCACCAAAAAAGTGCTCATTCCTCAGTGAAATGAGCTGCGCGCAGACATTAACAAGGTTTGTTTGGGGTTTGTACATACTGTATGAAAATACAGCAGAAGGAAGAGGAACAAAGCATTGCAAACAAAAACGACAGGTAAAGAACAGATGATCAAGACGTACGGGGAGCGAGCTGCATGCAGATCCGCCTGCATGGATTTTCGCGGTGCAAGCATGCAACTCCAACTAAACAACCTGAAAGCAAATCCAAATCATTGACACGCTTGTCGCCAAATTTCGTAAAGCCCATGATGCCACGCCACAGCATGACACTTTCAAGACACCAAAAACAAGCTTCTCCAAACCCCAGCAACTTTGGAGACCCTTGGAAGTACCTCTGCAGTTCCGCTGCATCGTCTTGAAGCCTAGAAGGCAGCACGTGTCAACTCATGGATACACCATCATGGAGCAGCCTGTGGCAAGGGATTTGTTTCAGAGCGAAGCTGCCGGAATCATGCTTGTAGAACCACAGCAGAGCAGCAACAACTCACTTTGCTCGCATCCTGTCGCGTCCAACACAAGTCAATCGGGAATTACCTGCCACAAACGCCAAAAAAGATAGATTTTGGCTCCAAACTCGAAGCCAAAAATTGATCCCAAAAATGAAGCCATTTTTGGCTTCGCCTAATGAAACAATAGAAGCGGTCTCCCAGAAATTGAAACTAAAAATAACCTCTGTCAAAAGAGACACAAACTGTCCAAAACGAAAAGAAATGTTGCGGCGCCAAAAAAAACTCCCAGTGAATGTGCCCGACAACCCTTTTACAGATGCTCGCACAACCTAGGCATATGTCTAGCATAAAGTTCCATTCTTTAACCAGCGAAGCACGTGACTCTCTTCATGCGTCATCATGCCAGAATCGAAGATCATACACCGTTTTTTCTGTATCAAGTGAAGACTCTGAGAAGGTACACTCATGAGTCTCCAGGATCACAATACTTTCCAAAGCTTGAATTAGATTCAACGAGCTCCCCCCCCTGCCCCCAAGACCAATGTTGATACAAACATAAACGTGAAAAATCGAACGCGCCGGTGTGCGATCAATCTAAGAAGCTTCTCGTTTGCACAACATCCAATATTAAAATTCCGGGGCAAGGGGATACACATAGAGTAAAGATGAAATCTAAAGCCAGCAGCCAGACTACTGACGCAGTAGTTGCTGAATGGCAATCTGCCTGTGAGACACATGGATTTGCCATTCTCTCTCAAACATTGAGGTCTGTGCTAACGCTTCCGGCAACATGAGCAAGCATCAACCCGCCCGGAAAAGACTCAAGAAAAGCACGCTGGCTGCCAGTACTCTAACATGCTGTGTTTTCATATGTACAAACCTCGAACAAACTCGGAATACACGTCCCATCGGATCACTTTACAATGGCAGGAACACTTCAAGTGGCAAAGCTCTGGCATGCTGATTTTTCATATGTACAAACCTCAAGCAAACCTTGTTCAAACCTCAAATCTATGGGGCCGGACGATGCCAGGTGCGATAGGATTTTAAATGAAAGTTCAATTCATTCTTTTTTTGCGCGCGGCAATCGAATTGAGGTTTGATTGGGGTTTGTACATATGAAAACACAGCAGATCGAAGGTGTGGTCATGGCATAGCTTTCTCCAATAGAATGCGCAGCACAGAGATGTTTTCAAAGTATGCCTGGAGTTTGTACGTATGAAAACGAAGGTGTCACCAAAAAAGTCCATGTGCGGGCTTCTCTGTTCAAATCTAAGTGCTGATTGCTTAAGTGAACCTAGTTGTAATTTTTTATTTGTTGTAAGGGTCGGCCTTTGCTGTGGATTTTGCGATTTTGCGGTCTCATTTTGGTACCGTCAGACGGTCCCAAAAATGGGACCGTTGAAAGTGCTTTTCTTTTTGCTAAGCTGTAGATGCAGTCCCAAAAAGGGGACCGCTAGGCGGGCCCATTTATGGGACTGTTTAAGTTCATTTTTTGAAGTTTTTTGTATCAGGGTTGCAGAAGCGCAAAGTTTTGGTTTCAATGAAACTTTGTGGCTTGTGGTGACCGGAAGGGCAACTAGGGAGGCCCTTTTGAGCGAAGCCGGTTTTGAGAAGGTTTTCCCGACCCAGAATTGGGTCCGTCGGAGCAACCTGTTTGTAGATGATTTGTTTCTGGTTGGGGCAAGTGGGGTGCATATCAGTTGCTGCTTGAACCCACTTGAAGTTAGCTTCTTATTATTTCGTTGCGTCTGGTGGCTTGATTGTTTGCCAGAAGCCCTTAGGTGATTGCTTGAGGTGTTTCTTGCTGTTGCGGAGTTTGTGGGTTTTCGCGCAGGTGGCCGGCTCCATTTGAATGATTGTATTGAATAGTCTACTGCCCCTTGTTGGCCCTGTTGCCCCTCTAGACTCCTACCGAAGCTTTCAGCCCAGAAGAAGATGAATCATGATCTTTTCAGTCAATCCCGTTATTAATTAATAGTATAAATTTAAAACGGGATGGAGTAGGAATCTGCTTAGGAAAAGATGTGGGAAGGGGAAGTATTGAAGGCTTTCTTACCCTGCCATCGTTTCGATATCGTTTCAATTACATTGGGTAATTGAATTAAAACATAGCACGGAGTAGCGGAGTAGCGCGGAGTAGCGAAGGATTGGTGAATGTTGCCTGGGTGTTGCTGCATCGCAAATCGCCACATTGGAGCTAGGGAACGGAGACACGCTTTCAGGTTCCATTTCTGGGGCCGGAAAGTCAATTGAAATCAGGCTTCGCATGTGCGGGCCTCCTCTGTACTCCCAGCGCCAGACCAGAATCCTTATGATGCAGTGCGCTTCCTCAAAAAGCGCCATTACTTCACCCAGTGGAGTCATCGTGGCGGCACACGCGAAATACGGGGAGGAATTGGTGGCCCGAGATGGAAACAAAGATTCGTGCGAGAAAGTGGAGGTCTTCACAGACTCAGATGGGCTGGCGACCAATCAAGCTCTACCACAAGGAGAAGACATTCAGTTTCATCTGCGATGATTTTCTTGAATGGCCGACCGGTTACTTCATGGTCACGATCCCAACGATCGATAGCCCTCAGCTCATGCGAAAGCGAATATCTTTCTGCAGTTGGTGGTGCTGCAGAAGGTCTCTACGTTGGAAGGCTATGGAGGTTTCTGACGCAAAAGGAGGTAGCTGTGAGCACAATCACAGACTCAAGCAGCTGTAGAGCATTTTCTCAGCGACAAGGAGTCGGACGGCTGAAGCACATCGACGCGATGTTTCTTTGGGTACAACAGAGACTCAAAGAAGGAGCTATGACAATGGAAGGAGTTCCTACGCTTCTCAATGTGTCCGACATTGGTACGAAGAGATTGACGAAGGTGAGGCGAGCATTTCTGATGTACCTCATGGGCATGGTGCAGTATGACGAATCAAGCGATTCGTATGTGGCTGTTGGCGAATGGGAATTCCCAGAGGCACGTGGAAAACCCCAACAACACGACGTCCTCAGGACAGGATCACGTAGATCCGTGGAATAGATCCTCCAGTTGGTGGGATCGAAACTGGCAAGGCCAAGACCAGTGGTACGACCGCTCTTGGCAAGACAACAGGGATTGGGACAACCGAGCCCGATCTGCGCAGCCGACGTCATCTACGGAGACAAGCGGCAGGGGACGCTCGGGAGTCGATTCACTCAGGACAGGAATCGCCGTGGACATCGATCCGTTGCAGCGACCCAGCGCGGATCGATCGAGGACAAGAACGCCGAAGACAGGCTGAACAAGCAGCCCAACAGGCGCAAGCAGCAACTCAGACAGAGCCGCAGCAAGGAGACACCGCTCCTCCCGAGCCAACTGGACCCCCACGGGTGTCCACTAGCGAGAGGAGAGCGCGGTCAGCCCCGCCCCCAGGCCAAGCAGCCTTAGAGGCGAACGAAGAGGCTGAAGTAAGCCTGGTTCCTCGGAAGGACCGCAGGCGAGACAAGGCCGAGACAAAGGCCGAACCACAAGAGCCGATTCCAGAGGAAGAACTGGAAGAGGTCTTGGAGGAGGAGCCACCAGCTTCGTCCTCCGCTCGTGTGCCCACTCCTCCGAGGGTACCGGACGAGCACTACATCAGCGAAGCCCGGCGCATTCTGGACCAGCCTCACCCAGAGGTTCCAGAAGAGATCGCAGCCGCGGCAGCTGACGCGCCAGCAGAAGAGTCTGGCAACGAGACAGAAGTCGAGTGGGGAGATTCGCTCTCGAGCTACAGCAGCTACGAGGTGTGCGAGATCCCGGACCTGGAAACCGCCAGGCGAGAAGCAGAAGCTGTAGCAGCCCAAACCAAGTGGCTGGAGCAGCGTCGTCTCCAAGCACCCCCACTGTACGCAGCGGGAGTTGCGGGGAGCACCGCACGGTCCTCCGCCGACAGCAAAGGCCCAGCAGTGGCACTATTGCAGCAATCCTTGCAGCAGACCGCGAACGTAGGCGTCGCCCAAGAGCAAGTTCCCCCGCTCCAGAGCGCGGGAACACCCGCCGGAAGCAGTAAGCCGGTCAATCATATTGACGTGCTCAAGTCTGTGAAACAGCCTCAATCCTTAAAGGATCGAGACCAATGGGAACGGTTCAGTTTCCAAGTAGAAACATACTTGGCTTTGCTGCGCGAAAACTTTCCAGCAGACTTGGACAATGCACGCAAGCTCACCAGTTTTGTGGATCCAGTCGACATGACTGACGAAGCCAAGTCCCGAGGGAGGCAATTGTTTGCAATGCTGAACTCGTGGACTCAAGAATTGGCAGTGGCAAGTAAGATTGCCCGTGGCATTCGAGACCAAAATGTTTTGAGTTTTGGAGACTGTTGTGGCGTGAAATGGCCCCAGACAATCACTCTAAGAGTTTGATCTGGCGGCGCTCGTTGCTCGGTCCCAAGTTTCCTGCAAAGGAAGCAGAGTTTTCAGCGGCACTCCAAGAGTGGGAAGCTGACCTTGACAAATATGAGGCCGAATATGGTCCCAGTAAGGCCATCAGTGATGAAGACAAAAGAGCTGTGGTCCTTACTTGAAGCAACACCTTTCCATGCACATTGGAACCCTTTCCACGTATCAGTCTGTGCGTGAGCTGGTGGTGTCCTATCTGCAAGCAAAGCAGGTTTGGAGGCCATCAGCCGCGTATGCGGGAGCCGCCGCACGCACAAGAGATCCAGATGCCATGGACATCAGCCTTGTCGGTGATGGCAAAGGAAAGGGGAAAGGAAAAGATGGCAAGGGGAAGGATAATAAGAAGGGCAAAGGAAAAGAGGCCAAAGGAAAAGGAAAAGACAGCCACAACAACAAAGGTGGCAAAGGTCAACAGGAGAAGGATCGTTGCGCCATATGCTGGAAAACCGGCCATACCATTGAGAAGTGTTGGTTCAACTCAAAAGGCCAACCAAAGGGGAAGGGCAAGAAAGGAGTTGCAGGTATCACTGAAGACAATGCGTCAGTGATCTCTGCAGGGCCATCTGCATCTCAAGTTGGCGGTCAAAGTGTAATCACCCTTCCATCCACGACCACATCCAACAAAGGGAAGAACGTTGGAATGATTGGGGAACACCGACTTCTCATGGTCAAGGCTACCAGCAGCGGGCAACACCGCCATGTTTCACCAAAGGCCATTTTGGCCATACCAGAAGGTGGAGGAATCTCTACTGGCAATGCCATTTTGGCAAAGGAATCTCTTGTATCCAAGTTGGAAGCAATTTTTGCCTATCGAGACCAACCTGGATGGGACGACCCTGATCCCAACACCAAGGTGTTTGTGGTGAAAGGCAAGAATGGTGCCACACGAAAGTATGCAACACCAGGGTCACAGTATCCTGGCTATACGTTTAGGTCAACGTGGCAGTGGTTCAGAAAGAAATGGAACCTGCATGAGCCACACGAGACGTTTCAAGGCACCAGGGTATGGGCACTTCAGGTCTTCCAAAGAAGTGACACTGCACGAGTGGCCAAGGTCGCCAGCAAAGGCACACTGCTGGTAGATACAGGAGCCTGCTCTTCAGTCTGTAGACCTGAGGCTTTTCCAAGTGCTCTCTTGGACCCCAACGCCGTTGAGGAACTATACACGGTGGATGACACTCCACTGAAGGCGTGCGGGGAAACTCAAAGAAGAAGCTCAAGTCACCTTTCAGGTGGTTGAAGGTGTGAACGAAAACATCCTGTCAGTCAACAGGGCATTGGACATGGGAGCCAGTGTCCACTTTGAAAGTGACAACTGCTACATCCAATGGGCAGATGGCAGGAAAGCCACGTTTGCCAGGCAGGGCAAACAGTTTCTCCTTCCGTTTAAAGAGTTGGAGCAACCCACCACCAGATATGGCAAGGTGGCAGCCATCGATGAAGATGCAATGGCAGTTCAAACCGAAGAGCCGAGGCAGTGCAAGAATATGCCAGGCGTGAAGAAGAAGTAAGAAAGTCCAAGGAGCTTCTGGAACAAGACTCCGGTCTCTTGGAGGAAGAAGCGGAAGCCCCGCCACCTGTGGAGCCAGAGGGATTGTCACAAGCATAAGGCCCACTAAGGCGCAGGTGGAATCCCACCGCCTTACACACTTACCATTCCAACCATGGTGTGAAGAGTGCGTGTCGGATAAGGCCAAACAAGATTGGCATAGGAGGGATCAATCCTCAACGCGTGAGGTAACAGGGTTGATCCAAATAGATTACTTCTTTCTCTCTCCTGAGAAGGAGGAAGAGGTTGAAGATGAGTCAAGGCTGGTCACAATCCTGTGTCTGACTGACACGGTGACAGGTGGGCCGCTGGCACTTCAACTTCCCAACAAGTCAACCGAGATAGCCCAGTCCAGGTACTGTCTGCAAAATGTGGATCTCTACACCTGAAGAACGTTGGGTACAGTGAAGTCATTCTGCAGCATGATGGCGAGCCCTCAATCAGAGCACTGGCTGAGTCAATCCAAAGACATGTTGGATCCAGCCGAGCCTCTGTGCGGGAGTCTCCGCCCAAGCAGCACAAGTCACAGGGAGCTGTGGAATCCATGAATGGGTTTGTAGCAAGCCAAATCCGAGCTTTGTGGCTCGACGTCAGGAAGCGGTATCCTTTTGGACGTGTCCAGCAACTTGACACCGTGGCTTGTGCGCCACGCGGCATGGCTCATAGCACGTTTCCATGTGAGAGGAAAAGACGGGCTCACGCCCTACGGCCTGACAACTGGCAGCGACTACTCACATCCAGTCGCCACGCTAGGCGAAGTAGTTCTTGGTAAAGTACCGACCCCGAGGGGCAAGATACAGCATACTGTAGGTGGATCAAAGGCATATGGCTAGGTAAGCTGGACAGAGACGACAGCAATGTGCTCGGCACGTCGTCTGGGGCAATCGCCGTGAGATCGGTGAGAAGACTGCCAAAGCAATCACTGATCAGTCAAGAGCTGAGGAACGACATGAAAGGAATTCCCGCGACGGGATGAAGTTGTCACAACCAGTGCCACTCCCAGCACCAGCCGCAGCGAGTCCAACCGCGTTGGCATCAGAATCCCCAGAGGAAGAACATCCGACACTGGCAGAAGATGGTCAAAACGTTGACCAGAATGGGTTAGTCGTGCAAGCTGCAGCCCAGCTAGAAGTCTTACTTGGCGACCAAGCCGAGGACTTCCCAGCGGGTATCCCCGCGGACGACGACGACGCACTCAGCTGCGTGCCCACCACGCCAGCAAGATCTGAAGCTGGAGATCCTCCGCCGGCAGCAAGGCCCAGCGGGCAGTCTCCGCCCTTCCGAGGTGCGGGATGGTCATCGTCGCTTCAAAGCCTCCTAGACGGACCGATGAGTCCGAGCGGACTTGGTTGGAGAGAAGCAAGTAAGAGATGATCGGGCAGCGCTTGCACCCGGACAAGCTGAAGCAAAGCAGTCCAGGCAGCAGGTGTCTTGCAGCATTTAACAAATCACGAGATATGGTCCCCATCCAAGAATGGGCCGACTCCGAGAACAAGAGCAATCCAATGGCTTTGCCAAAGAATAGCCAATGTAACGGATTTCGTCGATCAATTGCTCGATCCAGAGGAGGTTACCCTGGGTCGCACCAAGGTACGAACCAAGGATGCTATCATCACGATACCCGATGAGAAGCTGTCATCGCTGCTGCGGGAATCTCCGCCAGAGCCGCAGTGAGGTTCCTTCCAAACAACTGAACCTCTTGGAAACGGAGCCTCTTGGGCGAGGCAGATGCCAAGCTTTATCGCTCGGCAGGATCAGCGATCTACCTGTCGCTGGACAGGAGGGAGATCCAGTACGCGGTGAAAGAAGCAGCGCGACACATGTCGCAACCGCGAAAATGTGACATGCAAGCCGTCAAGACCTTTTTTTCTGTCCGACGCCTTCATGGCTTTCGCCAGGTCGTTCCACATGTTGGGGACATGTTGCATATGAGACAAATTAATTAATTCACGCAGGGGCCAAAGCTGTAGCGGCCGCAAGAGGCTGGTAGAGGACCGGTACATAGTCCTATATCCTGGTCACGTTCCCTGAGAACAAAAGCCGAAAAAACAGAAACCAAAAGCAAAACAAGCAACCAAAAAACAACACAAACAAAACAAACCACACCAAAAAAAACAACCACACAGCCACCAGAGAACGTGACAGGTACCAGCGATGGGTGAGAAAGAACTGTTTAATCAAGAGGTGATTCATCTCTGCGCATGCAAATGACAACTTATGTGTCATATTGCCAGGCCCAAAAACGAGTAAACAACAGGAAACAAGAACCACAAAAACCACAATGGGCCACCGCATTTTTTTCTGTCCGACGCCTTCATGGCTTTCGCCAGGTCGTTCCACATGTTGGGGACATGTTGCATATGTGACAAATTAATTAATTCACGCAGGGGCCAAAGCTGTAGCGGCCGCAAAAGGCTGGTGGAGGACCGGTACATAGTCCTATATCCTGGTCACGTTCCCTGAGAACAAAAACCGAAAAAACAGAAACCAAAAGCAAAGCAAGCCGTCAGGCCATGAGGTGCAATTGCACATCCATCAGCAGATCACCTTGCGACTCAGGGTGACTGCCACCAGAAACAATCAGCTAACGCTGACCAATCCAGCGCCAGCGGCAACTCCGCGGTCAGAGCCAGCTGCAAACCCGCGGACACCAGCGGAAGCCCCGCGGTCTCCTGTGGAACTCACTCCTCGAGGGATCGAGAGGTGGCATGAGGAACGTTGGGTCCAAGAAGCCGCAGAGGCCAGAATGACCATGCAGGAGTTGATCGAATGGCGCAACCAAGAAGAGTCTCTCCTACGAGGAGAGCATCCCGACAGCATGTCGGACCTCCAGGACTCTGTGTGGAAATATCCGGTATTTTTGGCTGGTGAGCGAGGAAAGCTTCTGGCTTTGTGCATATTTGGATGAACGAGCTGAAGTGGTACAGTGTGCGAGTTCTGCATTGGTGGGGCGTGCATATTCTGCTTTGGAGAATGAATTCAATGCTGGCATTCTTTGAGGAAGCAATTTGGAATTCGTGACTCCGGTCACCGGAAGAATGCTCGGGTGAGACTACATCAATTGGTCCGGCCAATTGAGGTAGTGTCATCTTAGTGTTCAGAATTGTGTTTGGATATTGCATTGATATAACATTCGTGGATGCTGTGAGACTGGTATCTATTGGGATCTGCTTTATGGTAACCATGAATATTTGTAAATAGATGCGAAGCCTGGAGCACTTTTCGGAAATGTCTTGATGACATTGAGGAGTTCAGGATTGAGCTGTGAACGATTGCATGCATTTGGAATCAATCTGAATTGAGGACGTTTGAATGCATGAGTGCATTTGAAGTAATTCAAGAATGTGAACATTTGAATGCAAGTGGAATCGTATGCATAGAAAGTGTTTATGAATTCAAAGAACCTGGAATGGAG